TATATATATACGTAATTGGATTATTTATGTAAGTCAGTATGCAAACGCTATATTGTCTGATATTTGTATTTTTTAATAAAATTTTGTTATATATAATATTAATATATCCGTTATTTTATTGATTATGCTTGTGTTTTTCATGCATTTGTTTCGGCTTGTTAGCTTAACAACAGGCAAATAATTTCATAAGTGTTAGTTCTGTGGTTATTGTAATATCGAATTAAGTGAGTTGATAGATGTTTTCACTGAGTCCTTTGACTGACTGATTGGCTGACTGACTGACTGACTGACTGTTTGGCTGGCTGACTGGCTTTATTGACTGACTGACTGTTAAACATCTATAAGGAAGAGGTGTGTGCGTAAAAGATATAGAAAATGGGTAAGGAAATAGAAAGATAGAGAACTTTGTAGTTTTGTAGTTTGTGGGATGATTTTGGAAACTAGATAACAAGAAAACGTTTTAGTGATATTAGTTTTTTATATATATATTATTGACTTGTTCAATTGGTTGTAATTGATGACTTAGAATACACACGGTTAATTGTTCTGTAGTTAAAGATATTAAGTTAAAAGATATTCTAAGGGGAAATTAAAGTTAGAATAAGTCTCATTTGATGATCTCTGTGGAATGTTACACATTTTTAACAACGTCTGGAAAGTTAATATATAGTAACATAATGAAAAGTTGGGAAATGAATGCTTGCTGCAATTAAAATTTAAGATTTTGGCCGTCAATTTTAGCTAAAATTTCAACATTTCAACAAAATAAATTTTTAAGAAATAACTTGCAACATCGTAAATATATAATCGAATGTCTGTTCAATAACGAGAATAATAAAAAACTTAATGTAGCGCTTTTAAGCAATTTCACATTTTTTAGTTGCCTAGCGAGATGCGTCTCTGCACCGTGTCTGACTGATATCATTTTGCTTCCATCGATAAGTTTTTGCAGGTTTTTTAACAAATGGATGAAAAGGTTTCACTAATCACTTTTTAGAATCTTAAATCTCACTTCATATTAGTTTTTTTCTTGTTATCACATTTATTATTTCTTAGTTTGTTTTCATTTTAAGACCGCTTCTTCGGATTTCTCTCCTCATCAGCTAATTTACGCTACTCTGTTTTTATTATTTTTCTTTTTCAGGAATCCTTTTTTGCTGGACTTGGTTTGTTGCATTTGAGAAATGTGAACGGTTTGTTGGGCAATTTTATAATTTATAATCATTTCTTAAAAGTCTATTTGTCTATTAATTTGCTCCTCGGACAGCCGACCAATATTTTAGTAGTGCACACTATCAAAATATGCTCACAAACAACTCTAAGATGGAAGCTGTAGCTGTTAACGTCGGTATCATTAAACAGAAGACTGAGGTTAGCGTTACGATTTATTTAATTGAAATGTTTCTTATAAGCATGCTAATTGTTTTTGCAGTCTCATTGTGAAGTCTGCCACAGAACTGGCGACCTAATAACGTGTACGACCTGCGATAATTGTTTCCATCACGTTTGTTACAGAAATGAGGAAGGCGATGTTACTACGGGCACGTATCTCTTTTGTCATCAGTGTAAGGTACAATCCTTTCATTAGGAACTTTGTTTTTAAGAACGTTATTGCTACTGTTTGTAAATTTAATGGCATGTTAATAGTTATTTTTTGCTAACAGTCTATTGGGGAAAAGTTTGGCAATGTGGATGACTGGGTCTATGGCATGCCTCTCATATTTGAATATATCGTCGAGAAGTTCAGCACTGATGGTAAGTTGAGCTGGTTCTTTCTTTTAATTTGCTGAAACTTTTTTGCCTGCTAACTGTCTCGCTTAATAAGCAACATTTAAATTTCTCACTCACAGGTGAAGTTGACAACCAGCGGTTATCTGATGAATTTGAAGGCATTCTTTCGGTTAGTTCAAGCAATTTTCTCACTTTAACTGTCACCAATGTGCGTATTATAGATGAATGAATTTGAATTAATGTTATTTGTTTCAAACTAGCGTCATCTACACAGCGAATGTGTTGGCAGTTCAAAATGTGTTGCCTCCCAGAAAGCCAAAAGAGTGATGGTAAAGTTTCTTAAAATGATCCACGACTCCTAGATTGATTGACCATTTCTAAATTTTAAAAATGTTGCATGGGTTCGTTCGAAAATCTGCTAACCATATTTTTTTCTATAAAGTTATTTTGTGATTTGTTTTTCAATTTTTCGTACCTAGCGTCATATGACATGAAATACAAATACACGGCATTGTTCAATAAATTCCATATTGAAAACTGTTGTATGTGAGAGCGATAAGCGCTCTGAAATGTAAGTTATAAGTTGTAAGTTATTGAGCAGGGAGCTCATCTTGTTAGATCGATCTAAGCTACAATAACTAACTAACAACAACAACACAGCAGCAACAACAACAACACAGTAGCAACAACAACAACACAGTAGCAACAACAACACAGTAGCAACAACAACACAGTAGCAACAACAACAACTTATCTCAGCTATCATTTG